CTGCAACCATCAGCAGGTGAGCTTCTAGGTACAGACGCGATAACGTAGTTTATAGACATTGTCTACGCTAATAGCATGAACTTCAAAAGAGTTGACTGTTGAGCGAGTTGGTGCGTTGACATAGAAAACATCGTGAGGGTGCAAATAAACACAACACTCAGGAAGACGAGGACCGACGAAAACTGCTGAGTGGCATTGTTCGAGGAAGATCCACAGCTCTATACATCAACATCCTTCGCATGGGCACCACCACAACAACAAGAAAAATTCAAACCAGGCGAAAAAAAATGTAATTCATCATTGTAAAGCGCAATAGAGGTTACACTCACGCACTCTTCAGCTGCTTTTCTAACGAAATAGCTTTTATCATAACGCGAGCCGTTTTATCTTTACTTCTGCTTACGGTTTTTGCACAGTTAAATTGTGGTTCTCAATGCGGGCAAGCCGAACAGTGGTAAACAAGGTGACTTCTGCCTTTATTTTATTAAGACTTCTTTCATATTTCCTGAGCTGGTGATTGAGGCAGTGTCCTGAGTGACCGAAGTAGACTTTGCCGCAGGACATTTTCGTTAAGATTTCTTTCCTGTTCTTCAAAAATAATGCCGACTGTGGACGCTCTTGCAGCTCGCGAGGCTTAGATGGAACAGCAGAATTAGAGTGTGGCCATAGGCCACTTTCGAAATGGTCCGTAGCTTGACATAGATAAGAAGGCGTTCGGTAGCAGACCTGTGCAGAGTGGAGCTTTAAGTTCGTTGCTGCTTTTGACCTGACACCCTCTGACCTTTTCGCCGCCACCGAGTACAACCTGATCACTACCGAAGTCGGGGCTCCAGAGGCGCACCGCCTCGAAAACGCCATAGTTAATTGCAGTAACTGACAGAGATCATCATGGACTTTCCTGCTGGTGAATCCGACATAGTCCTCTTATGCTGGTACCGTTTTCGCATCAGTATCAGACCCGAGCATATCCCCGCTAGATATGCCTCAGTCGGAGATACGGCCCTCCCACTCGACGTCGTCTGAGAACGTAGAGGCACTCACCACTGTCGTGCAAGAAGAAGTACACAGCACTGAACCCTACCAGACCAACTCTTTCGCTGGTGGCACCGTGTTTTCACGGGACACCTCGTGTGCACGCGCCACTTCACACAGAAACCGCCAGCTCGACTGCTTGAGAGAATTATACAGGAACATTGCAACACGACCATAAGCTACGTCGCAACTCATTCGAGAAATAGCCCATTCATTGACGCGGATGCCTCAAGTTGCAGCTTTACCCACCCACTGTGGTGGCACAAACGGATACATCTGCGATCACGCCAAAACAGCCAGCGTCACCCACCAGAACCACTGCCAAGAGTTCATGCTAGGTCTCTTCATGGCCGGAAGCTTCGAGGGACTTGAAGCTTCCGATTTGCTACACTTGAAGAGCACGAGAAACTTTTCCCTCCTAAGTGGCAGCTTGGCCAATGTTGTAGACCACGTGACGCAGTCAATGTCGTCTCCCATGATCATCACTGTAAAAGGTACAAGCCAATGCGCATAATCATGTCCAGCGCTTAGATCGACATTGTGACCGACCACGGCGACATTTTCACACTAAGTCACAGCGTGGCTGTGTCCGGCAACTAGAAAGAAAACAGTCAGTGGAGCTATTCTCGCGGTGTTCAATTCGTGCACAATTCGAATTTGGCCTCTCATGATTGACTGAAGCGTGCCGCCTCTTTCTGGTCTTTCTTCAGCAAGGTCATTTTGACACCTCGCAGCTTTCACAACTCTTGACGCCAAGAAGAATGACGAAATGCATTCCCTATAAGGAATGCAGCCCCTAGAGATGTGCTTTTAGATGCACATCTCTGAGGCCGTGCATTGACTCTAATCACGTGGGACCTAATTGAATTACGATGAACGCGGCCGCCCTCCTGACGGCCCTCTAAGGTCTGTATGCATTCCCTGCATCATTCTTCAAACATCTCCACACATTCATGCGCCTGTTCAGCCTTGTCAAGTTTGTTTAGGAGTACTGTTACTCTAATTTTATACACTTAGTTTATTTTTACACTGGGAACGTGATGCCGGGTTCGGTGCGCCGATGGGATAAAGCGTACCATGAGATCACAACTTACCATGACGTCTCGCGTACTCGCAAAAGGTAAAGAAATATGGCGTAGTGGGCACCTCGCAACCACATTTGCAGTAGGCATTCCAAGAGAGTCTGAAATGGCCCATGTTGCATGTAGGATTGTTCTTTTACTTGCCATTTGATTAAACGTGCCGTGCACGGACCTAAATTACGCTATATTTCAAGAAGAGCTTGATTTGGGTGAGCTGTCTGATGCTGAGTATTGTAATTATAGAGCAAAATAGTAGGAAGAAGCATCACAGACGGGAGCGGTGCTCTTCCCGTCTCTGATGCCCCTTTCTAAAAGATGCAAAGTGCGAAAAAAAAATTCCAAAAAAACTTGTATTTTTGTTGGTTTTTTTTCTGCACAGTTGGAAAAATTGCTCAAAATTTTCGTGAAGTACCTATAACGTACAAAAATAAAGGTTAGGTAACACCCAGGGTAGAACTTCAAACCAAAACATCGCGCATTGTATCGGAACGCTGAACGATGGCTGACCACTCACCACCATCGGCAACACATAAAATCAGCTCCAGCGTCAGCTTGTCTTGACATATAAACTTCTTCGTTCGGCTGTGCTCATGTTGGGAGCGGTTTCTGATGTAGTGGTACCAGTTATTGTTTTTTTTAGTTCACCTCGTACACAGTTGCAACCTGCGGCGGAAGTCTGCCTATAAGGCCGCACGGAAGCCGATTCTGCAGTGGTTAGGTCGAAGAGACCGGTGGCGCTAAACGGGGACTCGCTGTCTGTAGCCACTGCAAGACAAGCTACGCTTTTCCCAATACGACATCTTAGCATAATAAAGGAAGCTACACATTAGGCCAGTGATACTGACTTCGACTAAGAGTTTGTACTTCACCTGTTTACCGTTTTAATCAATGTTTCCATAGCCAAAGTCACGGACGAAATTGACATTTCTTTTTTTTCTATATGCCATAACGATTCTGAGAAGCCGCGCACATTCACGGAGTGCTAAGGAAGTTCTTGGAGGGCTATTGATTCATTGCTATTCGCTAAAGGAAATTTCTCTTTTTCCATCGCTCAAAAGTTTGGAAAAAGAACGTGAAAAAAGAAACTGTTTTTTTCGACTGCTCAAAATTTCAGAAAATTTTACATCGCTAGTTCTAGCTACTGTTGTTGAGCTGTTCCTTCTATATTCAGCGTAATCTCCTCTTCTGAAGGTGAAACTCAAGCATGCTTTTTTATTGTTCATTTAGGTTTTGATGATTTATAAACCATCAGACGGCTATAAACAACTTGAATCAGTCGTTTTTCGGCCTGCGTGTTTATAACTTCGAAAAGTTTCGCCAGCAATATTTTATGATAACAAGCGGGCTTCATTTTTTCACCAATCACAAATCAAACTGCATGAATTGTAACTGAACTAACTGACATTAGGGTGAATGAGTACTGAATATTACCAGAAAACGTATATATACAGATATTTATACAGGTGGGTGGTAATGGCTGGCACACGAGTTGGTTGGTTTGTTGTTCCACAAATTTGTGGCACAACCCATCACAGGAGATCGGTGATGAAACAGACTAGCTTTGCTTTACTTCCCTAGATACATGGCACGTACACACTTTAAGGGATTGGCCAAGAATGCGACGTAGAGACTGTTAAACGTTATTTGAGGTGAGCTATGAAATTTAAAACCAAAAATAAAGAAATAAAATGGCAATATTACGTAAAATATTCAATTCAACTACAAGTATTTTGCTTTTTAGCCTGCATTCGAGACTGCCGTAATAACATGGCGGGAGTAGTTTCGAAAACCTACGTTTCAACTCAATCAAATGACCAAGAATCTTAAATACCAGAATAAAATGGTACTCGTTGAGTAGTTGTAATGAAATCACACTCGGCATCAAAGGCATCCTTGCGGCAGTATCCCAAACCTGAGGCACCGAAGAATAAAACATTTTCCTCCGGTAAGGTCAAGGCTATTTTTGTAAAAGGAGTAATTAGAAATCGAGTTCGGATACGAGAATATCTTGCACATGACAAAAAGTAATGTGCGATATTTTCCAGTTCTCCGCAGAATTGGCAGACGGGTGACATCGTCAGACCAGCCCTGTACCAGTAAATGTTTAATGGCGGGACACGCCATCGAAATCTGGGGATCATCCCTTGTGATTTTCGAGAATGACTCGACTGCGATTTCCATGGATATTTTAGGTGATTATATTCCGTCGAGGTGGTTATTGCTTCAATCCTATCTGCGTGGATTGCTGATCTTCTAAACCTGATTGTGGTGAAGTGGTGTACCACCGGGAGAACCTGAATTATTGGGAGATCTAGCGAAGAGCGGGATAAGCATCAGCCATTTCATTTAATGTTAACCCACACTGACCTGGTACCCATACTAATTTTAGGCACTTCAGCTGAGATGGAACCAAAGATCGTAACGTCGTGATGGCACAAGAGGTATGAGAAGTTTAAGAGCTGTACATACCGAGAGCGAATAAGTAGTTACTATTGCTTTGTTTTCATTCCTCGGAAGTTTTCGCAGTGCCATGATGGCTGACATTAGCTCTGCCTCAAAAACCGGAGTGAAATTGGGTAGCCTCACGGCAAATGACCAGCCAAGTGATTGGGAGACTATTCCTACGCCTGCCATTTCCTTATTGACGCAAGCATCTGGGGCTATTATGTTACGTGTCTGCCTATACTGCCAGAAATCTGCTAGCCTGTTCTCTAAGAATTTACGGCATTAAAATTTAGATTGTGAAGGAAAGATCGCATCAGTATCTATATTACAATATGGTTTGAGATATCAGATGCAATTGCCTCACTAATGTTGACATTTATACTTGTCAGGTTCTTTTGTACATAGATTATCTGCGGTGAATGAAAACGAGGCCAATAACTA